ATGACAATGAATGAATCATGGGATTAGGGGATCTGACAACTCCAGCGGCTGCTCCATAGATCAGGCCAGCGGTTCCTGGTTGAAAAATCAGCACTTCATCTTTAGAAACCCCGTTGTGTCTGTATCCAAACAATCTTATGAAGGGCAGATACTAACCGCTGAGGGCTCCGACCTTGGCTGCAGACAGGAGGGCGTTGGACTGAAAATCCTGCATATCTTCGATTTGGTCACCCATTATTTTTCAGACCGAGAGATGCATGAGTTCAAAGCTCGTGGAGTGGTAAGTAACAATCATCGAAGCTCTCATCGAAGCAGTAATCCAAATCAGAAGGAATATGGTCACGTGCCCAGTTGATGTACCTGATTATGTAATGTTATCATGCGGCCTTGGATGGACGAATTAGGGCATAAGCAGAATTGGTACAATAATATTCGAACGATTTTGGTCTATATTTTATCTTCGTGCTATAGCGACTGGCTTTGCTTAATCATGTTGGAGAGAAATGGTGAACGAGGGCCAGATATAGTATCCCCGCATTGCACATGCCCAGGAGATGATCGCCTGCAAGACCGCCAGCCCCGCGATCTTTATTTCCCCTCATATGGTTGCGATTGATTCCTACTGGCTCACAAGCCAAACCTCCACTTTGATACGAGACGCAATCTCCAAGAAGCGTCTATCACAATGTCAAAAGGCTTAAAATAAAGCTCGAATATCCATTCAAGCTAGCTTTGCGATGTTCTTGCATCTTGTTATACAAATATTTAGAAATCAGGCCGATGCAGCATAGGAATGACGTCCACTTCTAGTTGCGCATTCTTCAGGATACAATATCTCTGCACGAATTCTTAGCAGCCTGAGGAGGGTACATCTTCTTTGATCAGCGCCTTATCAGAGTCTACAGTACGGAGTACTCAAAATATACATACTTGTAGGTAAGCCACTAAAATTCGTTATACCTAAGCCCTACTCAAAAAGGCCTACAGCAATACTATCTATATTGTAGTTCCGTACCAGAGGCTCAGGCGAAGTATATGAAATAGTATCAGGCGCTAATGTGGAACGATCTATAAATCGGACTTGTCATACTGTCGATTCATACAAGTAACGGAGGCTACTGCAACCGCCTCCTTTTGGAATGACAAAATTATAGCCAATCAAGTTGCAACCGGAATGAAATTGTCCTCGTATTCTTTTTTTTTTGGCGGTATATTCTATGATATATTTTTAGCCGAGTATGAAGAAATGCACCATTGTATACAGACAAGGTACGAACTCGCCTTTTCTCGCTTCCCGCCTTATTTCAAGCGAACAAAGGCACAAATAGCCTGTTACCCTCACACTATTCGTCAATTCCAGGGAAAATACAAACGAATTCGACGATGGTCGCAGTTCTGGTATAGACCGATCTCGCCTCTGATTGGGCTAGCGTCACCACTAAAATTTTAGTAACCCGTCCACTTCCATGCCGCAGCCGACTTCCCCTCTACCAACTTTTCCACTGTGGGTTTGCAGATATTGAACCTCACTCAACTACTTCACTCAAATTTTGATTCTTGGTCTTCTCACCAGGTATCTCTGATCGTTTGACCTTTTCTTCTTTCTAACCCTACTCTCCGAGAAGCGCGCACAAATCCCGGCGCGTTTCCCTCAACTTAAAACCGCAATCATGGGTTCGTTCCAGACCTTCCATGTCCCCCAGGACATCCGACCCCCGAAAATATTCATGGGCGATTGCTAACATGGTGAAATACTAGCTCCCAAAAATAAAGCCCAGAAGATGTCTATGAGCACCTTCTTGGCCGATGAAAGTGCGTGTGCTGGAAAATTTGGATGATTGAGGTGATTACTGACGGCTATAGGCCTTGGCTCTTGGGCTGATGAGATGGAGGATATGCCCCTTCCTTGTAAGTTGCAGATTTCCCCACTATGGAAACTGCGAAATTGTACTAACAAAATTTATAGCCAGTATGTAGTGTGCACCTAACATGCTTATCGTTAATCGAAACCCTTGCTTACACTATGGACAGCCCAGCCATTGACTTCCACCTTCAACCGTCGCCCCGCGGGTGATTTGGGATACGGCTCCGCCTCCGGCTCTGGCGGCTTTGGTATGATCCCCCCGCGCCAGACACACAGACCATGTTCTGACAGATTGAATGATTATAGAGCGCGAGCGTGGTGGATATGCCGTCCGGGAGCCTCTTGATCTCCCCACACAGCCCCCCTACACTTGCCACGTTGGCAACCTTTCCTTCGATTCAACTGACGCCGATATCTCCGAGTTTTTCTCTGCATGTGGCGTGACGAACGTTCGTCTCGTGGAAGACAAGTTGACAAAGGCCCCCAAGGGTTTCGGATATGTCGAGTTCGAGACCGTCGAGGGTCTGCAGAAGGCTCTGGATCTCTCTGGCTCGTCTTTCCAGGGACGTTCCATCCGTACCAGTGTTGCGGAGCCTCGTAAGTACCGAAGGTTGGTGTTTTGTAATGACTCCGACTGACAGATTATTTAGCCAAGGAATCTCGCCTGGAGGGCAAGGATCTTGACTGGTCCCGACGTGGTCCCCTCCCCGACCTTCCCCAGCGACGTGCGCCTGAGCGCTCCAGCTTCGGACGTGGTATGGATGCCGGCTCCGATGCGGGCAGCGACCGCGGTGGCCGCCGCAGCAACTTTGAGTCCGACGGAAAGCCCCGTGACTTCAACAACTGGGAGCGCAAGGGTCCCCTTTCGCCCTCTGCCGGTGGTCCGCCCCGCGAGGGTGGCCGAGAGCACAGCAACGACGGACCTGGTTCCAGCTTCCGGAGAACCGAGGCCGCATGGGGTGAGGGACGTTCCCAGGACGAGGGCTCGCGCCCTCCCCGCCCCGAGCACGTTCGCCCCGAGCCTACACCTACTGCTGCCGATATGGACAACCAGTGGCGCGCCAGAATGCGCCCCGACGAAACCCCCAAAGAGCCTATCACCCCCGCCTCCCCCTCTGCTACGCCTGCCGCTCCTGCTGCCCCTGCTAGCCGCCCCAAGTTGAACCTGACGAAGCGCACCATCTCAGATAACCCCGCCCCCACTCCTACCTCAGCCAGCAGCGACTCTAAGGCTAGCCCCTTCGGTGCCGCTCGCCCCATTGACACCGCTACCCGTGAGCGCCAGGTGGAGGAGAGACGCCAGCTTGCCCTCCGCCAAAAGCAGGAAGCTGCCGATAAGGCTAAGGCCGAGAAGGCCGAAAAGTTTGCTGAGAAGCAAAAGCAGGCTAAGGAGGCAGCCCCTGCCGTGGAGCACAACGGCAAGGATGCCATTGAGACCCCCAAGGGAGGTGGCAACTTTGAGATCCTCCAACGGGCCGGTGAGGATGGCGAAGAGGTGGCCACCGAAAAGGAGACCGAGGAGACGTCTGCCGCTCCTGTCGAAGCCAAGAAGGCGTCTGCTAACGGCTGGAGAGCCCCGGCCCCTGAGGCTGGTGCTGCTCCTGCTGCTGGCGGTGACGACGAGGGATGGAGCACGGTCAGTGTTAACAAGCGCAACAACCGCCGTGGACAGACTGGTCGAGGATTCGCATAAACGTATCGATACCCCGAAGCAACGACCGGTTTGCCCTGAGCCTTGGATTTACCGGAACGCCAGGTGGGTTAATTCTGGACGAGGTTCATTCCGGTCTTGGTGCGCTGCTCGGTCTAGTTACCTTGAGCGGTGCATCGGGATAGGTTTGTCACTCATAATTACCACCTGCTTCCGCCATTTCTCAGTGCCGGACGTAGATTGCTTTTTCTGATTGAGCTTTATTCTCCTTTCCACTTCGTCTCTTTTGCCCTTTGGTTTCATGATCTCTTCTCCTTTTTCGTGGGCTAGATTTTCCGATACACATCTAGTCCTCGCTTCGATGATCTGGCAATCCGAAAAGTTTCATTTTATGTCTTGTTCGCTATCTAGCTATTATTCCCATGCGTGACTCAAAGTGATCTGCCCATGACCATTACAGCCGATGCGAAACGAATACTACATGTTCCATTTTATTTTTTTTTCCCTTGCCCTGTTTTCTTGTTCTCTCAACTTTCTCCTCTCTTCCGTTTGATTGACCACGGGTGGTCCTGTTTCTTTCTCGTTCCTGTCTGCCATTGGGACCTACGTGGGGAGTCGGAGTGTTGACACTCTTCTTCTTTCTCCGTTCTCGGCCATGTGAACAAGACGACTCTGCGAGAATAGTTATTATGAGCACCCCTCTCATGAGCACAACGTTGACGAAATCAATTCCTGTTCCTGCTCTTCTTTCTGTGACTGCTTCTAATTCAATTCTTTGGGGTCTTTGCATGGCAGAGTTGTCTCGATGGTCCTTGCTCCATTTCTGCGTACTAACCTTTTTGAATTGAATTTCCGCTTAGCATAGAATGAAATGTTCACTGAAAGTTGTTTTTGTAGAATTCTTTAGGCTATAAATACATATCTACGATACTTCGAGAAGAATAGACCGTTTCTATGATGCTTATACTGAGTATCTATGTGTTTTATGTCTAATTTTAGCAGTAATGGCATAGAAAATAGATTTCCACTTGGACTATTGGACGCAAGGGTATAAATAGGATCCACTAGTCTCGAACAGTTTGAAGAACGTGACATATTAATGCAACGACCGAGGGTGTGAGATGTCACTATAGCATATAGGGAACTGTGTCTGTTTTCAAAGTAGTGTGAATATAGTTGAATATAGTTGAATATAGTTGACTATAGTCGAGTCTCCAGTTAAATTCATTCATTCCAACATCTTATGAGATCATTCAGGAACCAAGGAGATGCGATTGGCCAAGAAATGGAGTGGCCGGCATGGATTTAATTGAAACCCCTTCGAAGGGCCAGGGATTCGTATGATTTTCAGCCTTTTAAATTCTTTTTCCTTTTCCTTTTCTATCACTTGGGTTCTTCTTAAACCCCCGTCAACCCACCGTTGCAACCCTAGTACGCTTAGTTCAAAACATTAAACCCTGTCAATCCCGGGGTAAAACCCATGTCATGTCAACAACATCCGTTACCACGCTTGTCATACCGGCCATGAAGGGTGTCGTTATATCAGAAAATAAATGTCCCATGTGTTGGGGTGAAGGCTTTCCCCAAGATGGCTCTGGCGCCCACGATAGAATCCAGGAGTTGGAGGGGCAAGTGCATACGTTGACAGCGCGCGCTTTGGCTGCAGGTAAGCCTGTGAAGGATCTCTACAGACTACATACACACAAGTGTAGCATGAATGCGATCACGCGTCTACAGAGAAGACAATACTTTCCCCCCCTTCCCCTTCTTCCAATCCAACCCTCAAAAACAAGAACCCCCGCTAACCCGATCGCAAACAGCCTCCAAACTTAGCGAGTACGAAGACGAACTCCGCCGTCTCCGCGCCTCCCAGCCCCAAGGAGCCTACCACACCCCGCGCAGCAGCTCTTCACTGGGAAGACCCCCTCCCGAGCCGACCATTCATCACCACAGCGCCCAACATCCTCAGAATCCCAATCCCAACGACAAACATACCACAGCCGCCTCACAAACTTAGCCTCCTTCCTCCCCTACCGACGTGGGAGCGCAACCCCCGCACCAGCAGCATCCAGCGGCCCCCTCCCAAGTACTCCAACCGCGCTGAGCACACCACTCCTACACATGTCCCCCGCAAACAGCGAGCACACATCCGAGCTGCAGGATGCGCTTGCGCGCGAGCAGAAACTGCGCGAGGCTGCCGAGTCGCAACTCTCGCTGGCGAGTACCGAGCTAGAGGAGTTGACGGTGCAGCTTTTCAGTCAGGCAAATGAGATGGTCGCAGAGGAGCGCAAGGCTCGCGCGAAGCTTGAGGAGAGGGTTGCTGTGCTGGAAAAGAGGGATGTGGAGAAGCGCGGTCGGTTGGAGAGGTTGGAGAATGCTGTGGCGCGCGTGGAGCGATTGAGGGCATTGGTTAATCAATGACGGGTTTCAACATTGGAACATTGGAACGTTGAAAGGCTTTGGATTGATGTGTTGGTTTTTTTGTCCTCTTATGACCGGTACGATTGGATTATTCGATGATGGACATGATTTGGCGTCTATTTGGTCGCATTTGGGGATTTGGATTCCCTTTTGATATTGGGCGCACCGGGGGTTATGGAGTGTACAGTTCATATTGAATTTTTGTCTGGTTATGAATGTTTTTTTAATTTGAGGACTTGAATTGTAACTTGATATATCAGACGGTATACATGCATGTCACCTAAGATGTACTACCTAAATAGGTAATGCAGCCGACCAAATGACGTGCGTCAAGGTTGGACCTTCCCGCAGTTTAAAGTGTTGTTCCCCACTGTTGGACTTCCTTTAATAGCACCGAAGTACTGCAACGAAACATCTTTCTTCTCGATTCTATCACACTGATTACTATTAATCATGTCTATCGGCGTGGCAATCATTGGCAGTGGTACATATTTTTGTATACTCTACGTTGTTTGTATTGGCTAACATTCAGCAGGTCTCTTTGCGAAAGAGCAGCATCTAGTATGACAAACTCTCCAATGATCCCATATTCTACGTAATATACTGAACTAACTAATCAACAGCCCGCCGTCCAAGCTGCCTCAAACTTCCATCTCAAGGCTATCTATTCTCGGACCTTGAAGTCAGCCCAGGACCTCGCTAGCGGCACATCTGAAGTTGATCTCTACTCGGAAGACTCAGGCTCCAGCAAGTCCTACACCGATCTACTGGCTCGTTCAGATATCGGCGCTGTGATTATTGCGTACGGGATCACCCCGATTTCTCTAGATCCAACTCAAACAGAGTGAAACACTAACTCTCGATTCCGACAGCCTTCCCATCCTGGTTCAGCCGGAATTCATTCGGAAATCATTGCTCGCCGGTAAGCATGTCTTGTCCGAGAAGCCTATCGCTAAGGATATCGCCACTGCCCAAGAACTTTTGAACTGGTACAAGAGTAATATCGACACCAGTAAGGTCTTCTGGGCCGTCGCCGAGAACTTCCGTTATATCACAAAGTTCCTCTTCGCGGCAGAGCAAGTTCAAAAACTGGGCAAGGTCCAGAATTTCCGCGTCAACGTTCACAGCCTGATGGATAAAGAGAACAAGTACTTCCGTACGTCCAATCCCGTTGAACTACATAGAGGGTCTTGTAACGACTGACTATATTGAACTAGACACCGCCTGGCGCAAGACCCCTGAATACCAGGGTGGATTCCTTTTGGACGGTGGTGTGCACATGACTGCTGCGCTGCGCCTGATTCTAGGCCCCACGGAGCGTCTTAGCATTCTGTCGGCGCAGTCGCAGCTGCAAAAACCATTCCTGCCACCCGTTGATACAGTGGATGCCGTCGCGAAGACTAAATCTGGTGCTACGGGCGTTATCTCTTTGTCGTGGGGATCGTCATTTAATGACCAGATTTTCGAGTTTGCTTGCGAGAAAGGTGTCGTCACCTTGAACTTCGATGATGTGACAGTTAATGGCGAGAAGCACCATGTGGAGTTTGATGGCAGGGGCGTTGTGCCAGAGGTTGCGGCGTTTGCAAACTCAATTGTGAATGGAAAACCTGACAGCAGACAGTCTCCTGAGGAAGCATTGGCGGATCTTGAGATCTTGGAGCAGATGTTGCGGAGTGGCGAGAAAGATGGCGAGAGGGTTCAGTTGCATTTGCAGTGATAGTTACATACTGGAGAAATCAGTCCAGAATATGACATATAAATGAACAATATAGAATCCCCAAGATGAACGTGCAGCATAATGAGAGACCCATGTATACCTAGAACATCCCCAGATATCGCCCAAAGAGGAATAGTAGGGCTAGGGCTGGTCCAGCCCTAGGCTGACATAAGTGGTCTGCTTTCGCTTAGTTCGCCCAAAGCGTACTAGTGTGGGTCTCCCACTCTGCTGCGGGAGAACCTGAGAGAGAAGTTTTCGAGATTGAACTCCGAACCCGACAACTCTCGAACGCCCGGCGAGACCCAACAATACCGACAAGGTCAGTCACCAAATGCGCATGATATTCGATTCAGTCACTAATTTTGATTCTAGATGGTCGCCGCTAAGCAGCACATCCCTATCGTGAAGAAGCGTATGTTCCCGATCACCTGTTCCATTCCTTTTCGTGCCCATGCCCTGGATACCATCGCCCTTCGATCGTCAACAAAATGAAACAAGCAAGCTCAGCAAGATGCACCAAACGAAGAGGACACCATTGGAGGATGACTGGAAAAAATCAACATTTGTCTTGGATCGAAGGGCGACTTATCCGCAGGGTCGTGGAGGCTGAAAAGGGCACGGATTTTTCACATTCACAATCGGAGGACTGACATCGACCGCAATTAGGCACGAACCGCTTCAACCGTCACCAGTCTGACCGGTTCATGCGCGTTGGCGCCTCGTGGCGCAAGCCCAAGGGTATTGATAACTGCGTCCGTCGCCGTTTCAAGGGCCAGATGGCCATGCCCTCCATCGGTTTCGGTTCCAACAAGAAGACCCGCCACATGATGCCCTCCGGCCACAAGGCTTTCCTCGTCCACAACACCAAGGACGTTGAGCTCCTCCTCATGCACAACCGCACCTTCGCTGCTGAGTACGTCCTGCGCCTGTTGGAGCGACTAAGTCGTGTTATATGAGTCATACGCTAACAATTTCTACAGGATCGGCCACGCCGTTTCTTCCCGCAAGCGTGTCGAGATTATTGAGAAGGCCAAGGCTCTCGGTGTTAAGGTCACTAACCCCAAGGGCCGTGTCACCACCGAGGCATAAATGGAATAAACCCAGTTTGTTTCCTTTTCATTGGGATTGGTGCACGAGGTCAGGGTTTTTGTATGGCGATACTACCTCTCTGGCGATAACGAAATTTAAGGATTGTGCATGGCATGTCCGGCTCGGGCCTTGTCATAGTGCCGGGCGCTGTGAAGCGAGAGAATTGTTCTCTGAAATGACAACAAAAATTGCAAAAATCCTTTTTGGTTCCAAGATATTTAAAGGTGTCTCAGATTCTAATCTGGCCTTGTACATGTAGTTGTACATACTCTAGTGTACCAGTATAGTGCATGGGTGTACCAGGCAAATCGTAACCCTGAAACAAGTGATCTTAAACTTCCCTTGACTTTATACTCCCCCCTCTCCAACATATTAACATAACATGAAACTCCCTTTCCCTGTAGTCGATCAATATCACATCAATATCTCACGTTTCAGATCATCGGACCCACCCCATGTGGTGACGTACGTAACACGGACAAAAAAAACCCTAGATATCCGAGAGGACATGGAAGCACGACATAGCACAGGAGGATAGAGCCAGGACAGGACAGGATCAGCATACCTGGCATCCTTTATCCGGGTCAAGGTCTCACACTAATTAACCCTCATGAATAATGGTGCCATAATAGCCCTGGTTTGGATGTCACTGATGTACATAGACCTTGAACTTGCATCAGCCCCCACGCGCCCATCACTTAAGAACTCAAGGCCCCTCCTGAAGATCCATCCCCTCGACTTTTATATTTTATATTTCGGTCTTCATCTGGATATGGAGACCGATAGATCTTTTCATACCCATTGAAGCCGCTTTCTCCGATTCTCTTTCTCTCCACCTCTAGAGTTTTCAATCTCCGAACATGCCCTCTCTCCCACCCCGATACGGCCGCTGGGTACTTATTCTGGGCCCGGTGGTTCTCATCCTCTTGATATTGCAATTTATCCACGCTGATTTCGGCTCAAAGACCACGCAGGACGTAGTCAAACCCGTTTCCGGGCTGACGATTGATACACACAACGAGACCGACTCAAAAACTGAAACCCACCATGTACCATCATCCTGCCCGACAGACACGGGAATGGACTCAGTGCTGGTAGTGGTAAAAACGGGCATCACAGAAGCACAAAACAAAGTCCCCGTGCACCTAAGAACGACCCTCCGCTGCGTGCCACACAAGATAATCGTCTCAGACTTCGAAGAAGACATAGCCGGTACACGCACCTACGACGTCTTCCTCAACGTTTCCGACACCCTCAAACAAAGCAACCAAGACTTCGCTATATACAACCGCGCCCGCACAGGCGGCCACACAGCCCTAACCTCACAAGACCACACGAAAGTCGCCAACGGCCCGGCCGGGATGATGGACAACCCAGGCTGGAAGCTGGATAAGTGGAAATTCCTCCCGATGATCCACACCGCGCTGCGCGCGAAGCCAGACGCCAAGTGGTTCGTCTTCCTCGAAGCAGACACGTACCCGATCTGGCCGAACCTGCTCGGGTGGCTGGCGCATTTCAATCACGAGGACAAGCTGTATCTGGGGAATCAGATGCAGATTGGGTCGACTTTGTTTGCGCATGGTGGGTCGGGGTTTGTGCTGTCTCATGCGGCTATTCATACCGTGGCGGATTTCCATAAAATGAGTGTTGATGCGTGGGATGCGATCACGAACCAGGAATGGGCGGGCGATTGTGTGCTTGGAAGGGCGCTTGCTGCCGCGGGTATTAGGCTTACTTGGTCTTGGCCGCATGTTACTACTCAGTCGGTTTGGGAGCAGGATATGTTGCATGAGGCTTATGCGAAGATACCTTGGTGTTTTGCGCCTTTTACTTTCCACCATATGACGCCGGCAGATGTGGATCGGTTTTGGGAATTCGAACAGCAGTGGTTTGCGGCAGTGAGTTACTTTCTTTTTCCCTTTTTTGGGGGTATATCCATCTCCCTGGAATATGTTACTGACAAACCTCAGTCAAATTCAAGCGTTCTCACATACAGCGACATCTTCCGCAACCTCATCCGCCCAACCCTCGCAGACCACCTAGACAACTGGGACAACTTTGCGAGCAAAGGCGACGACAAAGAAGATTACAAGGGACCCAAGACTCCCACTTCTTTCGCCTCCTGTGCGGACTACTGTGCTGCAGACCCAGAATGCATCCAGTACCGCCTGACAGCCGACTCGCGCTGCACAACGTCCAATGCGGTGCTGCGTGGGAAGCCCCAGCCAGGCACGCAGTCAGGGACGATGCTGTGGCGGGTCGATGCTGCGTTGGAGCGGATGGAGCAATGTGAGAATGTGGCGTGGGTGACCAGCTAGAGTTTGGGATTTTGGGTTGTTGCGTCTGTCTATTTTTGGGATACATTATTTGGCAGCGTTTAGCGTAGTTATGTTTTGGGCTGGTTGAGTTTTGCATCAAGGTTGAAAAATAGCAATATTCGTAGCGTTGGCTGGGAAGCGAAACTGGTAAAGAATTATACATGAACTGGTTGTTTATTGGGAAGTGGATGGTGTGCTGTATGGGTTCTTAGGGCTTGCTGGGCTAGTCTGTGTACAATGGTTTTCGAATCAGCTATACCTCGACAAATAAGTCCTCTCCCGGATAATATATCGGCAAAAGAAGAAATTTGATTGGATGCTAAAATTAGTCCATTAAGTACTGCTTTCGATAACTCGGAGTAGGCCATTCCCGAAGTGGTGAGACCAGGCCGGAATATAAAAGTCATCGCCGCAAAGGTCAGGCCACAGACGGGCCGATAGCCATCCGAGCCCCACCAAACCGAGTAATACGCATTTGCCCGCCTGTGTTTGGCTGCCTGGAACCTTCCTGTATGTGGTATGTATGTACTCCGTATGTATGTTCAATCTAGTAGGATTAGGATTTAATAGTAGGGAATATACTGTACACTATATAGCATATAGTACTCTCGCCCAGATCCTTCGTTTTTTACTCCCCTCTTCACGAAATAGTCTTCTCCTTCTCTCAGCCTCTGCTTCTTCAAGACCTGCTAGGAACCACAATGTCTGTCTCTTCCCCCCCTGGGTGGTTGAATTATACTCTTTTGTGGAATTTGTCGTATATTGACCCTTTTTCTCCTAGGAATTCTACCGTGCTGCCCCCCGGCACCTATTGGGGCCAATATCAGGATATCACCAAATTCAATACCCATCTGAGCGTGGCAGAGAGATTGTGGGTCGCATGGTATGCGTGGATGCAGAATGATGTCCTGGCCACCGGCATCATGTCCTTCCTCATCCACGAGTTGGTCTACTTCGGCCGCTCTCTTCCGTGGGTCTTCGTCGATAGCTTGGGTTTCTTCAAGAGATACAAGATTCAAAGTGTAAGTGGCAAGCCTAACACCTGGCACTAGCCGAAATCAACCCAATTCCAGCCGCCATCGAAACTAACATTCTGCTTCAGAGCAAAGTACCTTCATTACGCGAGCAATGGGATTGCGCCAAGTTTGTGCTTCTGAGCCACTTCACCGTCGAACTTCCTCAAATCTGGTATGTTCCTGCCCTCGACGGAGTGGTATTCTACCTGACGTTTGCCTCTCGGGCCCGATGGAGTACTAACGGCTCTTCTAGGCTTTTCCACCCAATGGCCCAGTTCTGCGGTCTATCGACATCGATTCCTTTTCCGTCTCCCTGGACTATGGCATATCAGATTGCCATATTTTTCGTCATGGAGGACACTTGGCACTATTTTATGCACCGAGCTCTTCATTGGGGTCCACTCTACAAGGCTATTCACAAAGTTCACCATCAGTATTCCGCACCATTTGGTTTGGCCGCCGAATATGCTTCTCCTATTGAGGTGATGATTCTCGGCTTCGGGACCGTCAGCTGCCCGATCCTCTGGTGTGCTTTCACCGGTAACCTACATATTCTCACTATGTATATCTGGATTGTGTTGCGCTTGTTCCAGGCTATCGATGCCCACAGTGGCTACGAATTTCCTTACAGTCTTCACCATTTCTTGCCTTTCTGGGCTGGTGCTGATCACCACGATCTCCACCATGAGAAATTCATTGGGAACTACGCAAGCAGCTTCCGCTGGTGGGACTACCTCCTTGACACCGAATACACTCCGGATGCCCTGAAGCGCCGAAGAGAGGAAAAGGCGAAGGCGAAGAAGACACAATGATCTGAACGTTAGCAGTGACGGTCTGCCTATTTTCTCTTCAATTTGGGCGTTGGCTCTGTCTGGAGCTATTTACCTGATAGATGATAGCCTTTCCTATGGTACTGTTCAAGGGTTGATTTACCTTGACTAGACTTAGCTATTCTTGAAACTAATTGGTCTTCTAAACATCGCTAAACTCATGCCGTAGCCGAGAGATTCATGGCAAAAAGGAAGCGGCCTGTCTCGATTAATATACGATTTGTGGCTCTGTGATGAGAACTGACTCTTGAACTGACTCTTCGAACAATTTTAGAAGAACGTAGTTCAACTATCGATGTTTGATAACTTCTTGCCTTGCTCAGATATTTCATAGAGCAGTATATTAAATCTAAAAATATCAATCTTGCAACTTTGGCCGAGCGGTTAAGGCGCTAGACTCAAGAGACTTACCTCTTTCACTGATTTAAGTGAGCATTCTAGTCACGAAAGTGGCGTGGGTTCGATTCCCACAGGTTGCATATCTTTTTTTTCTTTTCCACCTTATTATCGATATGATTGGCTGTCGCATACTTAAATTTCTGGGGCAGACAATAAATACTCTGTGGAATGTGATATTATTTGTTCATGTGGGGCGACTTGTTGAATCTTAACTTTTCTTATATTTTTTTTGGAATTTTGAATCTTTCCAGGTCTCTTCAATTCTCCGTCTGGCACCTCTGTCGCCCATCTGGCTCCCTCACCTCGTATCACGGCCTATTTGCTACGGCAAGGCAAGCTCAAGTTGCCCACCATGGCCCTCACGACGGTCGATCAAGTACCCCCCTCCGAACCGGTTGAAAAGACTCCCGACGTGCTCGTGACTCCTTGCGATCCATGGCCTGCGCCTTACTATCTGGACGGTGGTTTCCGTCGTGTCACACCGTACCATTACACTTATAACACCAACTGCAAGGAGCGATGGCGGGGTCGCCAGCTGGTCGAGATCTTCACTTCCGAGTTTCGCGACCGGAAGCCAGAATACTATGTACGTGAATGCGTCGAGATGTGGATCTTCAGGTAGAAGAATCGCAAACTGACAATTACCAGAGGAAAGCCCTGGAGGATGGCCTTGTGCAGGTGAACGGTGTAACAGCCCGCCCCGAAACGACACTTAAGAACGGCCAGGTCATCTCACACACCCTCCACCGCCACGAACCGCCCGTTACTAGCCTTCCTGTTGGAATCATTCATGAAGACGATGACCTCTTGGTCATTGATAAGCCTGCTGGCGTACCGGTGCACGCCGCGGGTCGATACCACTTCAACACCGTCATCGAAATCCTGCGATCCGAGCGCAGCTCCGAATGGTTACCTCGTCCATGCAACCGACTTGACCGATTGACGTCTGGAATAATGTTCATTGGAAAGCATGCCAAGGGCGCCGAGAAAATGGCCACCGCGCTCAAGGCCCGGTCCGTGCAGAAAGAGTATGTCGCGCGCGTCAAGGGCAAGTTCCCAGACGGCGTGGTTGTCTGCGACCAGCCAATCATGCAGGTGAGCCCGAAGCTGGGTCTCAACCGTGTGCGCGCTACCGGTAAAGAAGCGACAACCAAGTTCCGTCGCTTGGCTTACTACCCTCCCGAGGCAGCAAAGGAGACCGAGTCGTCTGGCGACGAGCAGCGTCCCGCTACCCCGGTCCCGGCATTCGCCAATGAGTCCGAGGGCTACAGTATCGTGCACTGTTTCCCGCTGACAGGCCGTACTCACCAAATCCGTGTCCACCTCCAGTTCTTAGGCCATCCGATCACCAACGACCCTATCTATTCCAACCGCCGTGTGTTCGGGCCTGAGCTCGGTAAAGCCGAGGTGACCGCAGAGCGCGATGAAGAGATCGTCGCGCGGTTATCTCTCATGGGTAAGACGGAAATTCCCGACACGGTCTCGTACCGCACACACCTGACCGCGGCACCGAATGTCCCACCGGGCACCGACCCGGTGCTTGTCAATGAAATCATGCACCGCGAGCAGGTGGCCGCAGCTGAGGACTATGAAAAGCGCAAGGGCGAGCGTCTGTCCGGAAATCTCTGTGAAGTCTGTGGCACTGAGCTGTACTCGGACCCGGGCCCTCATGAGCTGGGTATCTTCTTGCATGCTGTTGCGTACGCCGACCGCGATGGTGATTGGGCTTACCGCAGTCCTATGCCTCGCTGGGGCTTGCCTCCTGCGGGCATGGAGGGTCCCCGCGAGTGTCCGGACTGGGTTCCTGCTGCTGAAGGCGAAGAAGTTGTCATTGGAAATGGGACTATCCCGGCTGGTTTGGGTGATGATGACTTTGCCGCAGACTCAAAGACTGGCTCTGTACTTTTGGAAGGCGTTGGTCTCGTTAATCTCTCCGAGGCCGCAGGAATGAACGTGTCTCTCAGCGAAGTCACGGAGGCAGCTGCAGCTACGAACTAATGATCTTGTCTTTTAGGGTTCCTTTCTTGAAAATACCTTCTCTATATATCATATTTCTCCGGATGTCTTCGTCTTGTCTTCATGATACCACTCTGCTGACCTGCCATGAAAAATTCACGAGCATAGCGTTTTGGTCTTGGTCTTCCATGACATCTCGATACATTGATTTTTGGTCTTCATCCCTAGCATATAGATTTGCTGCTTTTCGAAGTTTCATAGTGATATGTGCAATCTATCAAAATTCATTCGTGACACTTCTAGTACATAGTCCGCATCGCTATCTATTTGAAAATTTGGCTTGATACTCTGCTAGATATCGCTGTAGGGAGCATACTATGGGACTCACAAGATGTTCCATTCCATACCACCTACAAATTGGTGTCCCGCCATTGTTTGTAATAATGTCTTGCATTCTTCGACCGACTCCCTCGCTTTGCTTTCTGGCACTGCCTCCCAGGCTTCCGGTATAATAGTACGAATAGCCGGCCATAGTACCTTCATCGTTGGCAACAGTGACCAAGAGCAGGATCCTGGCTTTATGAAACAGCTCAACTTCTTAACGACGGGGTGAGATAAATATTACTCGCGCCGCTGTCAAGGAGCATGCGGATGGTGTGGCAATTTTTCCCTGTAGGACGTTCATGAATTACTAGTTCAAGAAACGCTATATCGAATCTAAAAGTATCGATTTCGCAACTTTGGCCGAGCGGTTAAGGCGCTAGACTCAAGAGAATTACATCTTTCACTGTTTCAGTGAGCATTCTAGTCACGAAAGTGGCGTGGGTTCGATTCCCACAGGTTGCATTTCATTTTTTCTTATAGTGAATTTTTTGTAACATACTGTTAGTTTCTCGTTTGTTATCGTAATATTCAACATCAATATGAATAAACTCCTTAATGCTCGGCTGTTTTATAGTAGTCAACTAACCGGTTGCACGATTAGATATCAGAACTTGGAGCTCCATCAGATAAAAAGGCGGTAAAAGTGTGCCAGGACAAAGTCCTCACATACGGAAGTAAGCTCGTACAACATCAATGATTCGGACCAAAACGCTCACTACAATTTAGTAGTTGTTATAGTCAGTGGAAAGTACAGTTGCCTACACGGCTCCATAAACCGAATATAGTTGTAATATACTGGAATATAAAAAAAAATATGCAACCTGTGGGGTTCGAACCCACGCCACTTTCGTGACCAGAACGCACACTAAACTAGTTAGTGTTCACTTAAGTCTGGCGCCTTAAACCGCTCGGCCAAGATTGCATCGTGACAACTACATAATTCCGTAAGGAACTTTTCTCCATATCTGTCATTCAGGAGTATGAGATTGTGCCAGCGACCCCACTTTGGCCAATGCGACCCCCCCCTTGCCCTAGATTTTGATGAAGGAGCCGGAATACTTGATACGGCGGGCTAGCTAGCTACATTATCTTGTCGACCTCACGCCTGATCATTCTTGGTAAATGTAGCTAGCTAATGGTGGCTTTAAGTAAACAATAGGGTGATAATAAGGTTCTTTCATTATCGCAGACAGCTGCCAGACCGAATAGGCCAAGATCAATGTTAGAGGCTCCGTGGATTGCCGTAATAACTATTCTGGTCACAGTAATTGTCAAATAAAGGTAGGGGGTCCTGGCCATAGTTATTATACATAACGGGGAGAGTCTCTGCGATTTATCCATCCAACTCTGGTTTTCAGAAGATCGTGGGTTTTCTTTTCGATAAGCGGAGGATATAGACCAGTACTAGTATCTTACATTCACGGGCGGTTTAGTAGTTATCTTTGGTATTATTGAGGCCGACCACAAAATAGGAGTACTTTCCGGGGTAGATTGTGACCGCAAGGGAACGAGTCGTATTATTCCTATTGTACTGATGGAAGCCGTCCTGTGCCTTCCAGGTAAATAGACATATAGATTCTAAATAATTGTTCGGATCAAGAATACTATTAGGAGTATCACCTAGTATTCGCATCGTTCCTACAATAACGTCTGGGGGTAACTCGAATACGATCCTTCGAATTTGGCCCATAACGTGGCTGCCAATCTGTTGAGTTGAGTCGTCCATAGTGAGGAGGAATAGATGAAGTCTTGATTGAATGTGAAGTTTATCATTAACTACTCCGTACTTGTTGAGCAGAAGGATTAATGTTCTTCCATCCTTGCCTTCTACCTGATCTATCCAGCCGGGTTCGCACAAGTGAAATGGGTCAGTTTACCCTCCTCGAAACTGGTGTGCATGGAAGTGACCGAAGCCCAAATTCCCAGACCAGCGGCAGACAAAGCAAGAAGCGAGTAGATTACATCAAAAGTGTTCCACACAAACTTCTTCTTGTAACCTCTAATCCATCTCTTGATTCCGTTGTCTATGCGCTGCACCTGGCCAGTTGTCGAATTGATCTCCTCAGGCAGTATCGCATCATTCTGGACGTTGAACCCAACCAGCAACATTGGTGGGAACGTGTAAGAAAACTGCAAGATGCAGGCGGCTCCCACGAAGGATGTTAGATTGGTGATTTGCGGGATTGCGGCGGCAACCACCCAGGCGAGAGCCCAGTAGGCAGGCACTAGAGGGATTATCAATGTGTGCACAAACGGAGGGGATTTATATCTGAACTTACCGAGCCCAATCCACACCCACTTGCCAGTTCGGCTGTTTAATTCTGGGAAACGGAAGACGTCGCGGAAAACTGCGGAGTAGAAGACTTTGATACCAATGTTACCATAGAGCAGTGCTGCGATGACGCCGGTGATGAATGAGATGGCGTTGCCTAAAGTCTGGAACCTGTAGGCAGAGTTTGGAATACCTGTTGCGTGATTGTTAGCTATCTCAAGATCTCCCTTGGAGGCTATGCGACCTACCCTGATATGCAGGATTGAATGTAAATTGGCCCTGTGCACTATACACAACCATACCCGAGACAAGGTAGCAAACGTAGATGAATATCTCGGCAATGATAAAGCCCTTCCAGAAGTCATAGGGCCGTCTCATCTCAGCCATGAGCTCATTGAAAAGGGTTGCGCCGCCGTACGCGAAAACAGCATTCATCATAGCATTGACTTTGTCGTTGAGGGTTGAGCTCGCAGGCCAGTACCCGCTTGTCTGCACGGGTCCCTTTTGGGTACCGTAGCTAGTCAGCGAGGCTGAGTAGTTAGGAGGATACTCATGAACCACAACCATGGTCATGATGATGACAATGACATTCAGCCAGACCGCAATGTTGGCCAAGTAAGAAAGGCGTTGCAGGGTACGGATCTGCCCGAACAAAAAGCCGATGGCCACGAAGATCACCTCAGCAGCGATGAAACAAAGGAATCCATTGCCATTGGCACCGACAGCCATCTGCGCCAGCCCTTGTCCGTTGCTTACAATAAGCAGGGCCACGTTGAGGAAGAACTGGAAGCTTTGGAGGACGTTCACAAAAATGCGCGCCCAGTCTCCGTAGATACGGAAAGCCATATCGCCATAATTGCGCATCGGGAATCGAGTCGAGTCAAGACCGATGAAGATCCTCCACAATTGCAAGCCGGAATAACAAGCCATGGCGCCGAAAACAGTGTAAAGTACAGCCCCCGGTCCGAAGCCCATCTGACTGATTGCCCAGGGAACATTGGTCGGTCCAAGGATGTCCGTGGAAATGAGATAGAAGATCGAACCCCAGGTTGCAGTTCGTGCGGCCCGTTGTGCCTGTTCCCATTCTGTCTCGGTGATGCCCCAACCATCACTTGTGCTAGCGCCGTTCATTGTGTTGGTAGGTTTGCTGGACTCCTTCATTACAGGGGCATCCTGTTCCTCAATCTCTCCCTGCATTATCACTAGAGCGTCCGACTTTTTTTTACGAAAAAGCTTGTTGCTCAAGTGCGCAAATCCCACATCGTCAGTCGAGATGTGCTTTTCAACCTCGCGCGACCGCTTGGCCCAGTAGACATAGTTCTCGAAGGTGATGCTAGAATCCAAGTAGATCGAACGATTGCCATCGGAAATTTCAGACGCGGGCTCGCGAGAAATTGACACGGCAGGGTCATTGGTGTCCAATTTTTCTTTCTCATGCGGATGAGCATCGGTTGCAGCACCCGTGTTGGCGCCGAAGATATTGCCCGCCATGATAGTAATCGGCCAATATTAACAGATGTATATGATTGGTCAAAGCCCCGATAGAGATGCAGGGCAAAAGTGGGAGTCTCCATGGACAACATCATCTTCATATACAGGACAGACAAGCCCATTGTCGACAGGAGATAGTACTATTGCGTGCCAACCACTACGATAGACTATCAACAGTCTGTCCAATACGGAGTAGTAAGAAGCAAGTTATCAGTCCCCGATGTAACGTAGACCCATATCCCACCGGAAAGGAAAGCTTCGTCATTGTACGAGCTCTGTCATTGGCCGCCGAAGCCAGCCGTCGTGTCACCGAGGATCCACCTAAACCTTAGTAAAAGCTTGTCTGCGAATCCGAATGGAAGGAGCAAATGATAGCGATGTCCCACACGGTTGGCGCATATTTCAGGTGCGGAAGTCCAACGGAGACCGCCTATTCCTTGCTCGAGACACTTGAGCTATTTATCGGCAAGGTCCGAGTGGTCCAATTACGATCATTCAACACTTGCAGTTTGTCATGCCGGTTGAGCCGAGTCAAAGATACCGAGTTGATTATTCTTATGTAAATATCCGGCGATATCCAGGTGACAGTCGGAGCGATAGTCGTAGTTTAGTTTCTATCCAAACATACCTCCCGGGCTGTATAATAATGCCTTAAATGACAAACAAGGGCTTAGACCACTGTCCCAGTAGTAAAATCACTGTCCCAACAGTATTCTACAACAAGGGCAATGATCTTCACCCCTCCAGCCGCAGGCACAACATAAAGAACAACCATGTCTTCCACATATGAATAATTTTCGAGGACCAACATCGAGTCATGACAAGAGGCTTTAATTCGAGATATGACACACACACACTCTCTCTCTCTCTCTGCTCAGTCGTTAATAAGGGGCAGGGAGACTGTGGAGTGAAGGGAAGACTGAGAAAAAACGAAAACTCTTTGGCCCCGGGTCCCTGGATGTACATTATATATCGCCAAGGCGTATAAAGCCAGCGCATCCCTTTATCAAGGTACTCCGGGGGCAGACGCCAAGTCCAGGCAGCAGATCCTCGTGACTGATTATATTTAGCTCTTCGCCGATGAGCGGCATCAAAGCCGGGGGATCACCCAAGCCCTGAATGCATACGGGGTACTTTCGGCGCCGCAGCGTCCCTGGCTGTCGACATGCGGATGCAGGGATCCATCGCATGATCGCAGACAGGAGTGACACTTAACTGAGACATGGACGCCAACCAACAGGTTCCGGACATGCCTAACGCCGGCGTGGTCCTCATAATAGACATCCAAATCGTATCATGTATGCATGCTGGGGTTGTTGTACTCCGCGTGGACGCCGTGATGGACCAGCTCGACGCGTTTTCCGTAATACGTAACGGTGCGGTGCGGTGGTGCTAGACCGATTTTCTTCCGCTCCAGTTGACATAGCCCACAACGTCGATGACCTCAACGAGCTGCCGGAATGGATTGGTGGCGCCACTGGTGTGGAGGTGGTGGGTTGGCAGCGTGGACGAGTTGGGCCTGGGTGGAGAAATGCCGCTTAGAGGGAAGGAGGTAAACCCTTGGAAGGAAAGGGGTAAGATGGAAGTGCATACGGGGTACGGAGTAGTGGAATTGGGGTTCACACGACTTAGTATTCCTATGTCTTAGAGCTTGTCTCAGTCCTCGGTTTATATCGTGGGCGACCGCTATGTAGGCATATTGTAAATAATGTAAATATATCCAAGCCTTATCCCGGGAGTGGAGGTACTCGACGTGTGTTGAAATTAATAGCAAGATCCACGACTCCTGTCTTTTAGTCGAGTCATTCCTCACGTCATCTCGTTGACATCGGGTACAACATACGCATAATGTCCTACTAGATGTGCTCATCACAGCACCTATTTGCAGCACCTATTTCCAGCACATTATCTCAAGTCCGTACATTATTTAGAGTTGGCCGTGGAAGTAATACTGAGCAAGTAAAGACCGTTGTTTTATTTGAGTACGTATGTAGTATGTTGCAGTTATTCTGGCTAAGTATCCCTTATTGCCCCAGTGTCCTGGTTTAGAAACCCTCTTTAGATTACCTATGTTGTGTATACTCAACTTGATGAGCCCCGAGTAAGCTTGGCCCGTGTACGGAACATGAAACCCGAAAAGGCCCGAGGGACTGCAAATGATGTGGATGAGAGAAAATCATCTCACCTTGGCAGTTTGAAAGAAGGCCAACACACAAGGGGCCCGAGGACATGAAAAAGAAAGAAAGATTAGGGTTCAGATATCAAAGAAATTCAAACTGTCGATTTTGTTCTCTCCAATTATTATTAAAGGATTTCTTATCGTTGTTAACGCCGTGCGTCGTGTCATATTGCAAAATTGGCAAGGATTTGCTTGGCGATCGCCTGTAGCTGCGAGGCTCTCGACCAGGTGGCAGAGCCATGATTTCTGGTTTGTTGACAAGTCAAGACGGAATTGTGATTATGCATGGACAGGGATGTCTCAGGCCTAGATAATGATGAGTTCAAGGTGCGGCATGCAGTCATCACACCATAACAGTTATGATGATCATAGCCAGGCTAATCTTTCAATCGAAGGTCGTGGAACGCTTCCCTGAGGAATGAGAAACCAAGACCATCGGCATCAAATAGTCCAGACCAGAATAAACTCGGCCAGCCTTAAAATGCCGAGAAACATACGGAGTAGTATAGGGCTGAGGCCGAGAACTGCGCCACGAAGAATTCTGCAGCCTGGAAGTTTCCCGTTAGGAATGTATGCCAAGTGTTCGAGGGCATTATTGATTATAATATTGAGTCAGAACGATCCATAACGATTATTGGGGAAGCCATGACGGTGTACGGAGCAAAGGAAAAGGATCGGCCCTAAAGAGGATAACCAGGGGAGACGGAGAAAAATCCCCGGGCCAAACGATGGGATTGCCAAGCCTCGGCTAGTCCCCGCACGTGAAAATCTCTGAGGTCAGCGGGTTAGCTAATCCACCGGATGTCAGCCATTTCAGCCATTTCAGCCATTTTCAGCCACTCAAGGCTGTGCGGGTCAGCCCGGAAAAATCCCGGTGTCTCGGGGCAGGCCAGTTGTGGCTGTCCAGCGGGTCGATTGACTTTTTCCCTGTTACACATCTGACCGCCAAATATATCCAAACACACATTCCGGATTTCCTGATTTTCGTATTTTCCATTTTATATATATCTTCCTCACATCACCATGGCGACATTCCTCCAGTTAAATGCCCTATCTCTAGCACACGCTCTGGTTGAGCTCTAACACCCGTTGTGCGTGCTACTGCGTGTTGCCGATTGCTGCACGTCCAAGCTCTGTTGAACTCTCCCTATTCGCCTTCCACCCTCCCTCCTCAATTTCCTATCACAAAGGCTATTCCGTCGTGCAAAGCTACAAGCTTATCACGACCCCTTTTCCCGACTTAAAACACTCCAACCCCTGCTCACCGCATCGATAACGGAATACACCTTGCTGTCTGGCCAGTGCTGTTTGAACTGGACATTCCCAACCAGTCCTTGCCTCGGATCACAACCCCGTGCCAAGTGTGCCCTTCTGCATTCCTTGTCTCCTGAAAAAGTTCTTCTCGGCGGTCCTTGACCAAGCTCCCGTGAACGCGGAAGACCCGTCAAATTCCTATCTCAACTTGGATTTCGACCCGATTGATATTTTATTTTTTTTTCACCATGGCTGTCGACTTATAGCCCGATCTAGCCCTTCGGATTCCTTGTACACCAGTGCTGTTTCTATATCAACTTGGACTCCTCCCCCGATTTTCGTGGACAAGTTATCCTTGCACATAACCTTTTTTCTTCATTGATACCATCCTCAATCATGGCACCCAACCTCTTCCTCTGTGCGCGCACCATCTTCTGCCCTACCTACTGGTTCCAGAAGGGCGACCGTGACAGCAATCTCAAAGAACAACACTGGGATTCCCCCGTCCCGGGAACATACAAGTTCCTCAAAGGTCGCGGATGGCACCTCATCCATCGGGATGGGTGCGAAAACGATGAAAAAGTCCCTGCTGCACTAGTCTACTGTCGCATCCTCCACCGTTACATGTTTGAATCTGAACTAGAGGAGCGCTGCCGCTGGTTCGACGCGCCGCTGCACAAGGGCGGCCGTCCCGAAAAGCTTCGCTTTTTCCTCCTTGACGACGGCATTCATTGGGTCGCTGGCTGGGACGCTCAGGGAAACTTCATTCTTGGCCCTTACCCCAAGTGGTGGCTCGATGAAGATGGATACACCATCCGTCGCGGCGCCTCGCCTCCGAGCAGTGCCAGCGTGTCCCGTTGCAGCAGCATCATTGCTGGCAAATTTGAATGAGCACCTTGTCTCACCCACAACTCTTGAGGCTGTCAGATGACAATCCTTCTTATGATTGAGCTTTCATCATACTTGTATTACCATTCTGTTGTTTTGATATTGCGAAGCGATTTAGCGTGTCTCTTTTATTCTCATGATAACCACAAAAGTCTTTGGTTCCGGTTTTTGGTCACGGCGACGGATATGTTTTCGGTTTTTCTTTTGGCTCATAGATTTCAGGTTAGATTAGACTTTTAATGATCTAGGGTTTTTTGGATGATCTACTTGATCTACACGGGGCACGTTTTTGTCTTTTCTTCACGGCGTCTCACATTCCTAAGACAAAATACCATACCAATCAAGATAAGGTGTCTTGCTATATCTCGCTTATTTTATCTCGAATCTATTCCTATAGGGATCATTTGATCAATCTCAAGTTAGAATCCCTATCTATAACCAGACAATCAGACGACTGCCCTGGAATGCAAGGGGCTACCTATATTCCGATAAGAAAACTATGTACAAGCCCAGCCCAGCGGCCAATATTGACATTCTAACCCCCTCACAACTTCGCCTGGTCCCTAACAAGCAACTTCTCCAAGCCCCGTCTAGTCCGCTCCTCCATCCCCGTCTTCCCAACCCGCATAGTCTCCCTCAACACAAAAACATGCGTATAAGTCCCAACCATCTTCACATCCTCCTCGCCCTTACGGAAAATACCCACTTCCCAGGTGACGCTAGACTTGCTAAGCCTATTAACGCGCAGCCCGACCTCCAGCAGATCCGGGAAGCGCACGGAGCCAAAGAAATCAGCCTGTGTCGAGACAATCAGGCCGATTTGGTTGGCGTTGCTTTCTAGGTTCGATGGCGAGGGGAAATTGGAGGGCTGGCTGTGAGTCGGCGCTGGGCTTGGGTTGTTCACGCTGAAGGGGTCCATCCCGCAGTGTTGGATTAAATACGTGTTCGCGATTGTGTCGAAGAGGTGCGTATACACTGCATTGTTGAGGTGTGCGTACATGTCATTGTCGAACCTGTGGGCGTTAGTGTCGGTGTCTGGTGAGTGGCTGCTAGTTCGGTGGTTCTGGTACTGACCATCGGGTCTGGTGTACTTGGTGGAAGCCATAGTCGCTGCGCTTGCGTTGCCTCTTGGCTTTGGACTCTGCGGTGGCCATTTTATTTTCCCGATGGGTGGTCTGATTTGGTTCAAGCGTGATTCTACAATATCTGTGTATGTGTTTATGCTTGAACCTTGATATAACATGCTCTCCACACGGACCTCGGCATATCAGTGATTAGGTAATTTTGATTCATCCGTGAGGTTTGTTTCTCATCTGATCCTCAACAACTAAATACTTTTCTATATACAAATTTGATATAACATATGTTATTAAGAGAATCAGTGGCTTCTACTCTGGAATTAGGGAATAGATGATTGGCGAGCTATTATAATGCTGTCATGCCCCGAAGGGCCGGAGAGAAGAACAATAACACAAAACAAAACAAAAAATATTTCTTGTTCGTAATTTTCGAATGCAATTTCCTCTCTATAGTAGTTTACCAATAGTCAAGGATTTTTGATTGATAAGTAGCAAGTATGAGGAAAGGAAAGGAAAAAAATTCCCATGTACGGAGTACTCATCGATTTGTGAAGGATAAATATTTGAATCCATCATCTCCTGCGAAATCTATTCCTCGTAACTACCTCTGTCTAACTTTCGATAGGTTAAGTTTTCTATTGTCCTTCTTGGAGATATATATTGTAAGAGCGCATCTAAATGTTCTTGTAAACCCTAGTCTAGATCACGAGCAGAGATGCACCCTGAGAGGATATATTTTCCGCCTTTTTCCGCCGACCAGTTCTAATTTCGATCAATATACCCAGGTGACTGACTAGGCTTATGCACACACATAACCAAATAGACGTGAAATTGGATTTCAGGAAACAACTATATACATAAACAGGTACCAGACCATACCACCGGGCCCTGTACACTCTTTATGTCTTCACATAATCCTCTTTCTCAACACCCTGTACTTCATTATGAACCGAGGTAGCAGCACCATCAAATGAAAGCTTTCTTTCCTGTGCAATTTCAATATCAGGTAAACGGCCAAGGGCATGGAACTTCTCAAAGAGAACATCCATCTCCTCAAGAGAGCGACCCTTCGTTTCCCTGACGACGAGGAAAACCCAAATAGCCATGATAAAGCAGAAGCAACCAAACATGATGAAGGTTCG